AACAAGGACATGATCCCTCACCACCTTCTCACCTGTGAGTTTGAGCTCACAGCCAAGCCACAGCACCGCGCCTCTGCCGGGAACTGAGCCCTGGCCCCGTGGTGGGCAGGCTAATGTGTGTCACCCAGATGCCAAACACTTTGTCTGCTCAACAAAAACACCACGTTCCAGTCTGTGTCTCTGTGTTTTTCTGCTCTGTCTAAGCCCTAATCTACTGTGTAACGGCTTTGGTAAAGAAGCCCAAGGCTTTGGATACCATTGCGGTTTCATGTCTCATGACAGGTGCCGCTCTGCTTGCCCTCTAATTGTATCATGTGGTGCTTGGTGCCACAAGCAGTGGTTAAGACTCTTCCAGCAGGGCCAATTTAAAGCCAAGGTTCAGTGGAGTGGGCCAATGCCAGAAGAAATGAGGCGGTCTGGCCTGGCCGGGCTCTGCAGAAAGAGAAACACAATGTTTGCCCAACAATACAAACACAACGAGTGATCTCCCTCTTTCTTTCAGAGGGGGGTGAAGAGCCCACTGCTATCCTAGCTCCACCTCTGTAAAATAAAGTCCTTGTTATAATGTTGGTGATATAGTGGGCTGCATGTTGTATAGTATATTTTCTATTTCTGTGGTTCTGTCTCCACCTCCTCTTTCAGTGTCCTTCCCCAGTGTGGTAACAGAGGCCTCGAGTTTGGCCAGACAGATGTTAATTATTATTGTTGGCCAGTGAGGTGATGCATTCTTTGTGCTGGATGTGTTTGGGAGAGAACGGAGGTGCTAGCCATGGAGTTAGCATCTCGGTAATACAAGCATGACCGCTGCTGGCCTCCAACCTGTCAATAGTTTAACAGTGACACTTCAGTCTCTGCAGGCTTCTTTCTAGTTGTAACTTTCTCACCTTTTCACCTTCACCCCCTCTCTCCAAACACTAGTTTCTCTTCTCTTCTCCATTTCTAGATGTTTTTCTCCCGTCTCTTATCTTGTCTTTTCTTTTGTTCTTAGTGTAGAATTTTAAATCAACAAATCATTGCTGCATTCATTCTGAGACATTGATATTATGGGTACTATTACGTTAAGCACATAAGACATGATTTGTTTGTACACTAGCACTAATAAAGGTGTCTGGTACATTGTATGGACTTTTTTTTTTTTTTTTTCAAAAGGCAATTAAGTGAAAATATCTTCACAGAGCGTCTTGTGTCAATAAGGTTACCTTGAACATAATTCTTCTTCTTTCCCAAAAGCCTCCAGGAGGTGGCCGCGTATTCTCTGGGATCCAGCCAACTGGAGTGCCCCACCTGGGCAACTACTTGGGTGCCCTAGAGAACTGGGTGGCCCTGCAGAACCAGTATCCTTCAGTGCTCTACAGCATTGTGGACCTGCACTCCATCACCCAGCCTCAGGACCCGGCCCAGCTCCGGAGCAACATACTGGACATGGCAGCCAGCCTGCTGGCCTGTGGCATCGACCCAGAGAGGGCCATACTCTTCCAGCAGTCTCAGGTGGGCAGGAGAGGGGGGGTGGATGGATGGTGGATGTCTGCTATGCTCCATTACAAACTGTAAAATAGACTTTTCCAGCTGGTCCAGTGGGTCAGTTTGGACAAAAAACAAAAACAGGATTGACTTTGCCTGACATAAAATTGTGTTCTCCATGCCACTATTATTACAGTGGCAATGTCAAGTAGATACATACATATAAATATTTTATCATTTACTGCTCAGGTGCTATAACAGATGTAAGGTCACGTGTTACTGAAAGTCAAGTGTTATTCAGGATTGTTAAGATTAACAGCGTAAACAACATGTTGAAAATATGTCTGATAAATGCTTCTTTAAAATGCCAGTTGTAGGAAGTTTAAAATGTTCTTACTGGTGCACTTGTGCATCATTATTAATGAATGTATGCTGCTTTATTCTCCTTTTAATTAATGGAGAGATAAATGAATACCACTCATACTCAGGCGCACAGAAGTGCTTTTCATACATGATCACATATGCATTTTATTTCACACATTTGCTGTGGTTATTAAACAGACCTTTAACTTAATCAATGCTGCAGTGTCTGCTTATGTAGTTAATATATATATATATTAACTGTTATATGACTGTTTATATATATATAAAAAGTCCGCCATCTTTGACTGTTTATTTTACTGCTGTCGACTCTTTAATATTTACCTGCTGACATGCCGGCCCCAAAACGCTTATTGGATCGCTCCTGATTCTTATCTCCACTGTACGCTATGCATACATACAGTGTGTGTGCGTGTGTGTGTGTGCGTGTGCGTGTGTGCGTGTGCGTGTGTGTGAGAAAGAGAGTGCGAGATAGTTAAGTTCGGCCCATCTGTGTTTCTCTGCCATCCCCCCTCCCCTACACACACACTCACGGCCCTATTTTTATTCCCGTTTAGCTTTATGCCACATAACTTGGCAGCGAGGCAACCCTCCTGTTGAACACGCCTGCTCCACATGTAAAAATACAACGACTGCCCAAAGAAAATACTCTACCTCATTGAAAAAAAAGAAAGAACAGATCTGGTGCAAGCTGAAGTCAGTGGTATCAAAAAGGAAGTGAATGAATCAGCAGATCCACAAATCCTCTGGGTTTTCTTGTAAGTATGGAGGGGAAAAGTGAATTTACAGTGCAGGGCCAACTGTTTGCTGTTCTTTAAAATCCCTTCTCTACAGTCTTGAGGAGTCTTTGCCATGGCTGTATGATAACTCACTATCAATGTAATGCCCGGATGATCCGTATCATTAGCATATCCCTTGTTGCGGTGCATTCTTACCATGCAGCATGAATGGAGGCCTTGTTCTTCCCAAGCTTTTAAATATCTGAGTTTTATTGCACTTCAAACCATATCCGTCCCTTTCTGCTCTGTCATCGACATCTGTCCCATCTCTTGTCATCCCATCTCAGTGTGTAATGAATACCGACCCCCTGCATGTACAAGCCTAAAATCCGGGTTTATGTCCCTGCTGTCTGGTGTTGACGTCACGCTCCCCAGAATGCTTTTCAAGCAACAAGAGAAAGAAGGGAAGGCAATATAGCCAGCGTCCATAAACTTTAATTTGCTGAAGCAGAAGGATATTTCCTGCATCCCTACTCACTCTCTCTCTCACACCAACTCCATGAAAGCGGATATGTTAAAGTTACTTTACCACTGCCAGATGCTCAAGATACTCTACATTAGCATTCAGCTATGCATTGCTTCACAACAACATATTATTAATGCATTTGACCACATGCAAAATAGTTTTTTAAATCTAACCAGAGGTGGCAAAAGTACAAGTAAAAGTACAGATACTCGAGTAAAATAGGTAAAAGTACTGATTCAACTTCTTTACTCAAG